ACTGGCGCAAACATAGCTTCACCATCATGATTTAAATCTTCAAAAGATTTACAGAAACATTATTTCAAGTATTTTTAAACTGTAGTGCTGTCATGCAGAGTCTTGGTGATACTTCCCAGTACCTGAACCTTTATAGTCCCGATTTCTTAATGCTCCTATAGAAGACATTTGGATGTATTTGCCACCTGTCAAGAATAGACTCAAACATTACTTCTTAGCAGAATAGCAATCAGCATTTTTTCCCCCAATTACTTACTTTGTTAAAATATCAGTAATATGTAAAATATGTTTTTCATTTAGTTTGGCAGAGAGAAACCTAACATACACCAAAACTAGATTTTTGTGTTGTAACTCAAAATGGAAATCAAAATATATTCATTCTACGAATTTTTGTTTCTGATGTGACCGCCTTTTATCAGTAATTGTTCATCTTTAACACTGAAAGCAGTATTGGTGCTGCTGCAATGCAAAGAGATGACATCAAGGTGTGTGTTAAGAAATTACACTAAATGTGGCATATATTTTCTTTAGCACTTATCTTATTTCTGGTCTAATTATTTTTCTGCTGCTTTTCCATTACAGGAGACTCAGCAGATATGTCAGGTAAGGGAAATAAAATTTTAACATCTTCAGGTGTAGTTAGCCTATCTAGTAGCTGTCTACAGCTTTATAGAGCAGTAAGTGACGTGAATTCATTTTTAGTTTATTAAAACCCTGTATCAGTCATATTACTGTCAGCACTGAATATAAACCACAACAGCTCAGCAAATGGTAAATATAGAAACAATTAAAATGTTAGAACATACTTAAAAACTACTTTTGTTGTAACATATTCCCTTCTTGCGGCCCAGTGATTAGTGAGTTCTAATACATAGTGCTACTGTAGCATTCCTATGTATGCTTCCAGGTTTTATGGACATGTTGGGGCTGACAATTAATGTTTGTTTTAGACACTTACTTGAGTATAATTTTAAATATGCATTTCTAAAGTAAATTCCATTGAGGAGGCCTAGGTGACTGAGTGAAAAAACAAATCACCTTTCACATTTATGTATGATTGTCATGCAGTTATTACCACTGATCCAAAATGCTTGTTCTGATGTCAATTTATTTTTTTCTTTATCATTTTGGGTCTTTGACAGTTTGACAGTCTTGACTGAGCTATTTTTTATTAATAAGTTGTTTTTTCAATTGTAATCTTAAAAAATAATCACCATCATGTGTGAGTGAGTTCATTGTTAAGCAGCCATAATTGTCTTGTGACACATCTTCAGAGATGCATAAATGTGTGTTCATGTGTACCTAGAAAGTGTAATAGTCCTTGTGTGGATCTAAAGCTTGTTCTGTGAAGAACAAATATACAATGGCATTTTTAATGTGTGTTGACTTCTTTTAAATATGCCAAATTGTGCTTGCTCTAAGGATGGGAGGAAGAATATAGGTACCTTTTCCCACACTTTTAAACTATTTAAAGAAGCAGTGATGATATGGTTGTTTATATGAAAGAACATCTCTAGTCCTGCGTATAATGCCTGGAGACTTTCCCTCTCTCACTTGCCTTCTTCCTACTGCAACTTTAGTTTGAGCTTGTGTATATTACTAAATTCTGTTGTCACTGCCTGAAACCAGCACTCTTACTTTTTTTTCTTCTGTATGGAACCATTAGTCTGGAATCCAAGCTGCTGCCTGCCTTCATTAGAAAGTTGCATAGTTTCACTTAAAATTTATCGATGGCTATTTGGCAACTTTCTTATCGGCAACTTTTGCTTTTCTAGTTCCAATTTTCTGTTGTCTACAATGATGAAGGGGTTCTTGAAGCAGTAATGTTTGTAGTAGGCTGGAATGGCAAATTAAGTTTCATAATGGCTTGGTATAGACTTGTTTCATCTTACTGAAGATATTTTTTGTCCTACCAGCCCATGGTAGCTTTATCTAACTTCTCTCAGAAGGAGCTGACACCTTAGAAAAATCTCTCCTGTGAGAGCAGAGCAGGTGGAGTACTCCACAAGCACGACACAATATCAGGACAGAGACATTCAGAACACCATCAAGTAGGAGGACTCAAGAGTCCATGTTCCCTGCCCTGCAAATCTCACTCTCAAAGATTTTGTCAGTTCTTATTCATGAAATCAAAGTGAAATTTTCTGTCTGCCACCCAAAAAAAAATTCTGGCCAAGATTCTAGAAGAGGTGCACAGGTCAAGGGCAATACAGAGTTTACCAAGGGGAGTGCTGAAGAGGGAAAAACAGTTTAGAGCCATAAAAAAGCTTTCCCTTCCCTCAACTTCCCATGAGGACAGCAAAGAGTTTGATGAAAATGTTGGAATGAACCAGTTGTTGCCAACCCTTGCCCTTTCTGTTTAATAGCATTATGCTTTAGTACTTCTCAGCATGTTGGTGCCATGAGAGGATGTTCCAATGGAAAACAGAAGAAATTAGAAAGATTGGTCTAAAGACTGTTTTGGAACAGCTGTGGAATTGTGCTCAAAAACTTGGTTTCATGTGGCTAAAATTTTACCTAGCTCCCTGTGCCCACTGTTGCCCATCATATGTGTGCCTTTGAGGAACTGGCTGATTAGAAACACAAAGCATGGAGCTGAAATAGAATTTAGTTTATGTGAATCTGGGTCTACGACAATAATCAGTGACCTCCAGACTCTGCAGTCAGATTTACTAGAGATCAGAAGTAAAGAAGTTTAAGAGAGAATCTTACTGACCTGGAAATGTCCTAGATGCTATTTGGAGATTGCAAACTACAGATGAATTGCACGATCTTTGGAGAAGGCATTGCATTTGGAAAAAAAACTAGTTATCATAATAGAAATAATCACATACATTAGTAGCATGGAAAGACGGTTCTTACTGCAAAGAGCTTGCAGTCTAAACAATGCAAACTAAATTAAATACCCTAGTTCTTCTACATCAGTAAGCAAGCTGATTATTCAGCTGACATTCTCCTAAGAGAGCATGCATTTCAGACAGATGGCCATTTTGTAGAAAAGGAGATTTTGGCCTTGCACTGTAAACTAATTTCTCTGTAGCTATCAGTTGTCCAAAAGCCCCATGTAGAAATTACATTCTTGATGATCTACTCAGTATTTATGAAGGTTTTTGAGTTAGCGTGCTGAGCTACGTTTTACTAGGGAAGAAAAAAGTAGAAGACAGCTTGCTTTCAGAGCTTCTGCTGTGCTTCAGAAGTCTAGTAACAGGTGAAGCAACGTTTTCATCTCCAGTAGTGTAATGAGGCCATCTTCTTAGTCCTACTTAATGATCCTATTTGCCGTAAATTCATTTCCAAAGGGAGGCCAAAATCTCCTTTCTCTTCTTTCTTCCCCCCCCATCTGACCAGAACAATTTTATTTGTCTTATTAAAAAATATTAACTGCTTCAATAAGCAAATCATTAGACATTTTCAAAATGTATACTAATTACCTCTTTTTATATTTGTGTAGCTACAGCTCCTTCTATTCATGTGTGGGATGCAATGAACAAACAGACGCTGTCGGTACTGCGGTGCTACCATTCAAAGGGCGTTTGCTCAGTCAGTTTCAGTGCCACTGGCAAACTGCTGCTCTCTGTAGGGCTGGATCCTGAACATACCATTACCATTTGGAAGTGGCAGGAAGGTAGGAAGTGATTGCTTTTGTAGAATGTGTTTATATTGGTAGAGGTATGTTGGCTTGAGACAAGAGCAATTGGAGCATAAAACTATCAGCAGATCAAAAATTATTACAATAAATGCTGTGCACTATGGACTGTACAAGAAGAGGTAAAATAAATGTACTACTCCTTTTAGTAATTGCTAAATATATCTCCTTTGGAACTCTTGTGTAAAGATCAAGATAGTTCACTGATTTCCAGTTAGAATAATTAAAGAAAACTGTGGTCTTCATTTTTTTTTTCAGTCACTCATTTGCTGCTCAGTAAAAACTCTTTATAAAATCTTTTTTGCTCCCAGAAGAAATTTTTAATTCTTCTCTGTTCTTATTCTTCTCTAAAGTCTGATTACTGACTAGGTGGTTGTACTCCTAAAATTATCCTCTCAAAATTGCAAATTGCAGAAATGTGATGCCAGTACAGCTCCTGTATGCAGCTATGTAATTAGTGTCTTAAACTGTACTACGTGTCTTCAGATTGGCTTTGATCTGAGTTCAGGATTTAGGCTAAAGCGATTTGGTCAGCTCCTTTCCTCATCTCCTTTCTGTCTGGCAAAGCCATGCCCAGATTATGAAACTGATTCTCTAGTCTTAGGGGTTTATTTCCTCTCTCTTTGGAGATTTCTGTTGATCAACTAGTATCTCTCAGAAATTTAAAGATCAGCTATCAAGTTAATCAAAAGTGATTCTTCATAGCTTGTCTGCTAGATCCTGTGGAGCTGGACGCAATGTCAAACGTGTATTTATACAATCTCAGGTAGTCTGAAGGATGTGTGGTAAAAGCCCATGCAGCAATTCAGTGCCGTTTCAGTCAGAACGTGCCTGTGCTCATTCTTAAGAGTTGATACAGATTCAACATGGCAGCTAAGGATCTGGATGGAGTAATCTTCATATGGGTCAAAATGTTTGATTTTAACACCTCCGAAGAGACTGGAAAAGCATTATCTTTGAATCTAAGACCATATGTAACAAAGTCAGTTTCTGCATTTTCTGCAGCAAGAAGAAAGTTTGGACAAAATTTGTAGAGAGGTCATTCATTAGTCTTTTGTAATTTGTCCAGAGTTTGGGATTTTCAGAGGAGTCATAGGAATTTAAGAGAAGATGGAAACTTACTTGGATCTGAGCTCTTTTTTATACCCCTGAGGAAATGGAAAATTATGAGTAGATGACACCTTCATTAGGTGCTACACTTTGCTACTGGGTCTTATGAAATTATTTTATTTTTATTTGCATCTTAATTTAGTTTTAATTTGAGAGCAGTTTGTGCTTTTCTTCATCGCCTCTGTGGTCCTGGATGACTCATCATTCTCCACACTTTTTATATTTCTTTAACCATAAATGCATCTTTTTCTTATATTTTTCTTAGAGAATTCAAAATGTCCATTTTCCTTCTGTCAGGTGCCAAAATTGCCAGCCGAGCTGGCCATAACCAGCGTATATTTGTAGCAGAGTTCAGACCAGATTCGGATACTCAGTTTGTTTCTGTTGGAGTAAAACATGTGAGGTTCTGGACACTGGCTGGAAGAGCTCTTCTCAGTAAAAAAGGGCTGCTGAGCTCTATAGAAGATGCCCGAATGCAAACGATGCTATCTGTAGCTTTTGGAGCGGTACGTACCTTAACAAACTCTTCTAAAATGCATACAAACATTTTTTTTAACTCTTCTGCCTTTATTCAGTTCAATGAGACTTCTCTAACCTGCTAATGAGTATGTCAGTTGTTTTATTAAACTCCATTGAGTGTTTCTAATACTTGCCTTCTAGTTAGAACTAATGCCAGCTTTCTTTAGAACAAAGAAGAAAAAAGATTATGGATTTGTATGTTTTGAAAAGAAACAAACATAGGTGCTTTGGTCTGATAATATGCTGCTTGGTATTTCATCCAGGTAAAACAAAGCTGACTCTGGACTGCAGGAACCAAACAGTAGAAATGAGGCTAATTTTATGCCCACCTGGGGGTGATTGACTTATAATTTGTATGCATTACTACTCATGGGTGATCTGAGAGCAGCCTTGTCCTGGGGCATTCATTAACATCTATGACTGTTAGATAACCGCAGTAGGGTTTTGTTTTGCTTTGGGGTTATTTTTGACAGATGTAGGCCTTGTTGCTAAGTTCCACAGCTTTGCCATTTCAGGAGTTGCTCTGTGTGAGCAGCACTCATCTCTTCAGCTGGGCAGATAGCCATAGATTTTTTTTTTGTGAAGTGGTGCTTCTCTTTTATGGCATGTGTTACTGTCCTGCTTGCTGATCTGCCTGTTGAGTCCAGACTGAATTTATACTATTGATTTTGATTTTTGAAACTATAACTGGCCTGTGGTTTCATTTTTCATGAGACTATCTCTTTTCCAGAGTGGTGTCTCTCACTCTGATATGTCTGATTTAAAAACTGCCTGTTCATGTGAAATGTCAAAACTGTTCTTGGTTTTCTACTTTTTTACCACATTTGCACACCTGATAGGCTGAAAACATAGATAACCCTATGGCTGAAGCTTAAGTCATTGCATTTATTCTTGCAGTGCAGACCCTGTTAGCTACAAGAAAGCATGTTTCAGACTTCAAAAAGAATATAGTAGCTCATTGTTTTGTCCCTATGGGTTGTTACCCCTTCTACAATTTGCTCTTTTACAGCAGCAAATAAAAGTAATCTAGCCTAAAAGCAAATGGTGATGATCTTTATTTCTGGATTTTTTTTCTTCGTGCCTTACTCAGAATCAGATGATGAGTATATTTTTCCCCTTTTCAGAATAACTTGACATTTACAGGTACGATCAGTGGAGATGTTTGTGTTTGGAAAGATCATGTGTTGATACGAATTGTGGCCAAAGCTCACAATGGACCTGTTTTCACAATGTATACCACATTAAGAGATGGTTTGATCGTTACAGGAGGCAAAGAAAGGCCGTGAGTCTTCTATTTTCTTGTTTCTGCATGCACATGTATTCTTTAAAAATGGTTTGGATTCATCCCATCTAACACTAGGCAGTTGAGACATCAAAGCTAGAAGAGCAGTCGCTTTTGGATCCCTGAATAGGTGGTAGGAAAAAAAAGTAGCCACCACCTCCAAAGTGCAGGTAAGCCTACATGAGCTTCAAGTACCTATTTTTTTCCATTGATTACAAGAGAAAGCCAAGAGTCGCTGGGATCCTGACCTGGGTACCTTGCTTGAGTACCTGAAGTCAAAGGGAAATGAATCAGAATTTAAATGCTGTACAAGTAGATCTTCTTAATTTTAACTTCTAGATAACAGTCATGTCCCTAAAGCACACGTGCAAGCTCAGGCATTTTATGATGACTTTACATTATTTTGGTTAAAAGTAATAGGCAAGTGTAAAATAAATCATGGAATGGATTATCAATTGTATTGCATTATCAATTATACTGCATTACATCAGTCAGGTAATGTTTCTCCAAGTACAAATACACAATTATAAAAGAGATGATACAGTTCTCCCTCCTTAAGCTGAAAATCTTTTGTGATTTATTTCACACTAGTAAAATACATATTTTTCCTTTTTCTCTCAACTATATTTTGATAATCTCTGACTGTCTTATTATTAAGATGGCAGTTTGCTCACACACTTAATTGTTCCTTTGACTGGGCAAATTCCCCAAGAGCTACTAATTTGGACTAAGCAGAGCAGCAATCATCTTTCAATTTGTTCTGTAAAGTAGTATGAGGACTTTGAATCAGTATTTCTTGCTTAGCTAGGAGGCTTAGCATATCACCATCACCTGTTCAATAAAAACAAATGGGATCTTTAATGATTTAAAACATATTAAAATGCCTTATTTACAATACATTACATTAAATAATATAGTTCTTTCATACATTAGTTGTCTTTTTTTGTGCCAGCCATTATACTCATGGTTGTTCCTGATTTCTCTGTAGCTCAAAGGAAGGAGGAGCAGTTAAGCTATGGGATCAAGAGCTGAAACGATGTCGTGCCTTCAGACTAGAGACAGGGCAAATGACGGACTGTGTTCGCTCTGTTTGTAGAGGCAAGGTAAAGAAACCATCATGTCTTTAAAATAAAGCTTGTAAATTGTGGATTGATCTTTAGCATTAAATATAAAATTGCTTCCTCTTTCTAATTAGTATTTGAAAATAAAGGTTAAGCTAGATGGTGTCTAGAACTGATTTTACAGCAGAAAAAAAATCTACTTCGAGAGATCTTAGTCTTACTTAAGTTACTATTCTATATATATTTTTATTAAAGACTAAGGAATTTTTTTAATTTTTTTTTCTTTCCCCCTCCTTTTCTTCCCCCGCTCCCTTTTTTCTCTGATTTTCTTTTCTTTTCACACTTCAAATGTCTGACTTAGAAGCAATAACTCAACTAGTGTCATGGTTTATATACAGCTTTGTACTTAAGAAATCAGAGGAGTTTAAAAAATAAATTATCTTTGTTTATTGATTACTTGGTTTCAGGAAACCTTCTTCAGAGAACTATAGTTTTGGATTATATCTTTATTGCTATTCATCACGAATAGTTAAAGTATTATATCAGAGATAATTCTTTCACTGTTGTTCAAGGGGAAAATTCTTGTTGGGACACGAAATGCCGAAATAATTGAAGTTGGAGAGAAAAATGCTGCATGTAACATTCTCATTAATGGTCATATGGATGGACCAATCTGGGGCCTAGCGACACATCCTTCCAGAGATTTTTTCCTTTCTGCTGCAGAAGATGGCACAGTAAGACTCTGGGACATTGCTGAAAAGGTAGGTGTTGGAGAATAGTTGTTGTTTAGGGGGAAAAAAAAAAGTAAAAATCCTAGACTTGCAGTGGTGTTGAGGACTTGAAACTTGTTGCTTAATGTATTCTGAGAATAATCCACCTGATAGTGGCAAACTGTTAGCATAAGGTACTTTTGAAATATGAAGTACTTCTGAAATATGAGCAAACAGAAACATTTACTCTTCTGGGTTTTTATTTCTTTACAGAAGATGCTGAACAAAGTCAGCTTGGGACACGCAGCTCGTACTGTTTGTTACAGCCCAGAAGGTGATATGGTAGCTATTGGCATGAAAAATGGAGAATTTATTATCTTGCTTGTGACGTCTCTAAAAATTTGGGGGAAAAAAAGGGATAGAAGATCAGCAATTCAAGATATCAGGTCAGAAAATATAATGCCTTTGTCTATTGTAGTATTCTAGAAATCTGTATTATTTTGATTTTTAAAAATACAATTTTATGTTCTAAGGAGCATTGCAGTGATATTTCAGAGAGCTGGAATCAATGAGTGAATTGTGGAGTTTGTGTGATTACTCTGATACCAGGAATAAAAAGGAAGGAGGAGGTACATGAAGATAAGAGATAGCAATCATTCAAAAAGCAGGCAGTACTGTAAAGGGGGAGTGTCAGATGAGAGTGCCAAGGATTAGTTAAAATGAAGGATGAATGGGAAAGCAAATAGACACTGGGAAGAGACCGTCCTAATCAGGTGGCAGATGAGGTGTAAAAAGGAGCAGGGTGAGATGATGTCTAAGAGGTAAAATGGGCTCAGAAGTTTACAGATGAAGACTGGATTGTGAGAGACAATTGAAATGCCTGTCTGTTGGTTTGCTCTTTGTTGTGTTTTGTTAGAAAGGAGTTAGCAGAAACAAAGTTTTGCTTCTTTTTCCTGAGTGGAGGATAAGACTTTTCTTTCTGTGAGATAAATTGATGGTGATCAGCTAAGGGAAGCTTCTGGAGAGCAAAGTGGGATGAGTGGGAGAAATACGAGCAAACAGGGACCTTGCTGCAGGAAGGCAGGAGAGCCTTGCTAGAGTTAAGGGGTTGCTGGAATCAACAAGCTGTCCCAAGGTATGTCTCAGAGATAACAGAAATAAAGAAACTTCCCTAGTAACACAAAAGGGGCTGCAAGGAATTTGTTCAGCTCAGGAAGATACTGAGTTTCAAGACTAGAAAGGAAAACTGGAGGAAAGAAACCCCTGTGCAAAGATGCATCAGGCAGATGAAAGGTTTGATTTCACATCTTTTTATTCAGTACGCTTCATCTAGAAATGTGGCTTTTCTTCATTTACAGCATTTCCTTTTTCTAGTTTGTAGCCATGTAAGTATAGCATGAGAGAGTCAGTCCATCAGGGGCTTGTCACAGAGGTGTTAGACTGTTGAGATGGTATTGAGATAAGATAATGAAGAGTTATTCCAGAGATGGTGTTCCTAGTTCACTTATATGTGACAGCCGTACCAAAATTATTGACACCTTCTACTGCATATATGTTCCCTGAAAATTTTGTTTCAAAAGTTATTTGCTTAGCAGACGAAATACTCTGCCTCCCTCTTTAGTTCTGGATAGCAGATACTTGAAATGCAAATTTACCTGTGCTTCTCAAATATTAGAATCTATTGTAAGAGCCAACCTGTGTTCATAAAACCCTTTTATCTGTTCAGGTTTAGCCCAGATTCTCGTTACTTAGCAGTCGGTTCCAGTGAGAATGCAGTGGATTTTTATGATCTGACTTTGGGTCCCACACTAAATCGAGTCAGCTATTGCAAAGATATCCCAAGTTTTGTGATCCAGATGGACTTCTCTGCAGATAGCTCTTATCTCCAGGTATCAGTCATTAATTGTTCAAGATACTGAATGGAAAACATACTCATGACAGATACTCTGCGATATTCTCCTTTGACAACTGTTAAGTTTTGTAATGAAATGTTGGAGTTGTAGGTTACTGTCACTAGAGTGTTACTTTGTTGTAGTGGTAGGTGGATGACGAAAATAGTTATCCTGGATATTAAATACAAGAAATAAGCATAGAAAGGAGAAAAAGATTTCAAAATCGCTGTAATGTGCCTCCCTGCCTTTTTACCTCTGTGATGCTGTTGGGCTATCTTAAAAGGGGAAGAAGTAGAGTCTATCATTCTGTAAGCCCCAGGGACCTGTCAGTTCTTCATATCCCTGGCCAGAACGGTAGCATTACACAGCGTTTCAGTGCTAGCCTTCATGGAGCAACACCAAAATCATGGTGTTACAACTTCCAGCCACAGGGATCAAGACATTTCTTAAAATCAAAATAAAGTAGGCATACTTTGCTTTTTATATTTTCTTTGCTATATTTGCCTATTTGAAGGAATAAGCTTCTCTCGCTATCAAATCAACATCTGCAACCTGCGAGGAATACCTTTGTGTCAGTTTTAAAGACAGGAGTTTATTTTGCCTTGTTTTTTTATATACACACACATACATACTAAAACACAATATATAGAGAGAATGAATATGTCCAGAATGTGAGATGTTTCAATTATTTTTTATTAATTAGACATTTTAAAATTTAAGCTTTCTTATGCTTTCTCGCTGTTGTTTTATGCTTGCATAGATTTTTGAGAATTTTCAACTCATCAAGCAAGTTTTATTCATAGTTAAGTGACTTAAAGACTAAAAGATAACTATCAAGAAAATGCTTTTCAAAGTCCTTTAGAACTATGTTTTCATCTTTTCAAACAAGTTCATGTATTCTAAATTTTCTGTGGTCATCTCAAAGGTCTCTACTGGGTCTTACAAAAGGCAAGTCTATGAAGTGCCTTCAGGAAAACAGCTTGTGGACCAGGCTGTGATTGACAGAATAACATGGGCTACTTGGACAAGGTAAATGATTCACGCATTTACACCTGTTTAAAACACTTGTAACTTCCAGGAAAAGTACCTGCTGTTTAAAAGCATATTTCGTTTCATCCCTTCACTCAGTCAGATATTTTCTTTTAACACACCCATCTGCTCTGGCAACAGATAAGGTAAGTACAGTGCAGGAAAAGACAGTAGATAGCAGATTCCCTCAGTAAAACATGAGCTGTTTGACCACTGAGGACATCCGATAAAAACTAATCTCTCTAATGTGTGCCTTTCTATTCACTGTGGATCTCTAGCTTCCTTTGGAGATACATCTCCAGCAGCCTCAGTAGTTTTTCATTGCGCTGTGCAAATTACCCGGAATACTGCATTATTTGCTTCAAAATAGCAATTTGGGGATAAGAGTACAGGGAAAATTAAAACATATCAAAACATAAAAAGACAATACAAGACTGTGATAATTCAAGTTTTACTTACAGTATTAAACTAACGGTATCTGTATATTAAAGTTGCTATTAACATTTGCAAATTAAAAGGTATAAGAAAGTATTCTTAAATACCTGAAAGTTATTATATTTCATTCAAAATAGACTTAGAAATTACATGGAGAATGATACCATATTTTATTTTCATTTCACATTTAAATAATTTATATTCTATGCAAATCTGAGTTCCTGTGCCTTATTTCAAGCTCCTTTGCTTTCTGATTAGCACCCTCAGACAAAAAATGAGAATAAATAGTTGAAAATTTTCTACATATGAACCACTTTGAACAGTAATAATCCTGAATATTTGCTGTAAGACATGACTAAAACTGCAAGCTTTTCAGAGGGCTCTGAAAAATTCATTTGGCTAGTTTGCTGGTTTCTGTTTGGGTAATCCATTTTTGTCACCCTTTTGATATGAAAACAAGAAACTTGTGTTTTCTGACCCAATTCAGTATGTCTGAAGCAAATAATTACTTTCTGAATGTAGTGTACTGTGCTCTGATCTGGGGGGAAAGAATCACAGAAAAATTCCCAAATCATTTACCTGTTAACAAATGATAGTGCTTGTTTCTGTGCGTTCTTGGAAGTAGGCATATGCATTGTAAGCAGAGCTGAATAAAAAGCAACTTGCAAAAGAAATCTTCTATAAATGTCTGTTTTGGAATCTTAAGATAAATATGTTTTCTGTTTAGGACAATATTTCTCTCTCTCTTTTATTATTTTCCAGAAGCTGAAACTTGTTATCTAATGCTTATGCTATAACATTGTATTTTTAATTGTCATTGTTCTTTTTTTTTTTTTTCTTTTTTTTTTCTTTGGCAAATGCCTCACTGGATAATATTAGTACTATTGATTTAACCTCGGCTTCTTAGCATCGTCATGTGTCACGTTATTTTGGGACTTAATCACTGAACCAGTTTCAGAAGCAATTTTGGAATGATAGAAAAATTAATTACAGAGTAAAACCTACATGAGATGTGCATGTGTAGGAATAAAATGTAAAAATTATATTTTTAGAAACCCAGTTACAATATGAGAGCTGCTTACTATTTCCTTATTCTATTGGTTTTGCTGTAGTTCTCAAAAGAATCTCGTACTCTTCTGTTTCAGTGTTCTAGGGGATGAAGTAATTGGAATCTGGTCTAGACACGCTGAAAAAGCTGATGTAAACTGTGCCTGTGTCTCTCACTCGGGAATCAATCTTGTAACAGGCGATGATTTTGGCATGGTCAAACTGTTTGACTTTCCATGTCCTGAAAAATTTGTAAGAACTTGGTTTTTTCATTGTTACAGCAAGTACTGTTGATTTGTGGTCTTGTATTGTTTCTCTAGAAGACATATGATGGAAATATTTCTTTCTCTGAATTTGTAGCTTTTTAATGCATATGTAACTTTAGCTCTGTAGTCTCATAAGCATGCTTCACCTCAAAGTTTCCCTACCATTTGCTGCAATGGCTCTTGCTATAAGCTCTTGTAGGTGTTAATATTGTCTGCCAGTCGGCATTAGCATCGTGCCTTCCTACTGAAAATCTCAAAGCCCTTAGTTTTATTTATCCACATCTCCAATCTCCGTTTGACAGATGAGGAGGACAGCTGGTAATTTTAGTTCCATCTGTGTATTTCCATGGACGAAAAGTTTACAGATTTTTCCCTAACACTAGCACTGTTAACTTTCAGGATTTGAGGCTGCACAGTGTAAACCACTTACGCACTTACAATGAAAATAATTTTTTCCATGTTATGAATTTTACATGAAATTTAGAAGTTAATCATGTGACAAGATACATTTCATATTATTATGTTAGCTTGAGCAGTGTTCCCAATTTGCAGGTGCCGTCTCATTTGGTAACAATTTAATCTGCATTGCAGCTCAACAGTAGTTGTCCTTCAGGAGATCTTTCACATTAGAAAACCTATGTAACATTCTGAATGATATAAATATGTGATGCAATAAAAAGGTAGATAAAAACATGCATGCCTTATTTGATTTAGGAGGAGACAGAGTATTTAGACTCTCTCATTTTATTGGTTTGTTGGGTTTTTTTTTTTCAGGCAAAACACAAACGATTTTTAGGTCACTCTGCCCACTTAACTAATATTCGATTTACAAGTGGAGATAGATACGTGGTCAGTGCTGGAGGGGATGACTGCAGGTATGTGTCCTTCTGTTATTGTCAAAAAGTACACAGCCATGGACATGGACAGTCCATAAGAGTATAAAGCTCAGCTTCAGAGTCTTCATCTTTTTATCTGTGTGCTTGCTTTTCTGTTTGTATATGAAGAAATAGATATTTGCAGTAAAATGAATAGCCCAGATGTTAATATGAACAGTTAGGATTTAATAAATTAAAATATGTTTACATCTGTATTCAGAGCATCATACTTTTAACTGAAGCTTTTCTTTTGACTATATTAGCCATTTCTTTTAACAATATTGTAGTCTTTTATGTCTCATATTTAATATCTTTTTGAAAACGCAGCTTGTTTGTTTGGAAATGTGTGCATATGCCTCATTGAGCGAAACATGGAGACTTGCACAGAGGACACTGCATGAAGTACCAGGCATGAAGTACCCAGGATTGAAATGTGACATTCTACTGTGCCCTGCATGCGTAAGAAATGGTGCTGATCCAAGACCCAGAGCACTCTGGCTCTGAAAGACCAGTATCTAGTCTGTCAGAGGGATGGACTGTAACAAATACGCTGAGGCTGTTAGATTTTCTTCAGTATTGGTTAATCCGGGTTTGTATTTCACTCACTGCCAGATGTTGAAAATGAAATACGTGGATAAAAGGAAAAAGTGAATTGTTAATCAATGTACAGTTTCACAGTAAGATCCTGGGGTTTTAATCAAGAGATGTTATTTCTGACCTAGTGCTGTACATTGATCTATTTTCAGCATGAATGTTTTTCCTGTAAGTTTTGAGGTCTGAATATCATCGAAAAGAAAAAAAAGAGTATACCATATTTTATTACTGAAAGAAACCATATATTAACTCTTAAATATATAGTATTTTAATAGATGTTTAATTATTATAGTGGAAATTATATTTCTATGACTGGTCAAAAGGAAACATCATCTGGTGAAGCAGAAAATAAGAGATTTGATTCCTTTGGACTTAAATATTTCTGTATTTAGAGGCCTGGGTCACAGTCATGTCTGGTGAAAGCCGTTGGATATGCATGATCTTCATGGCTAATTTAGTGTTTTTGTTGCACTTAAACATTAAATTAGTTCTGTGAGCAAAAATAGATTTGCTCACTTTGCGAGTGCCTTGCCCACAACCTAAAAGTCTAACTCCAATTTTTGCCTTGTGAATAAAAGTATTCTCAGTGGAAGAGAGATTATTGCTGTGTTACTTGACTGGGCTGTTAGCCTCTATGCTGGAAATGTGGACTAGCGTGAGGATTTTTTAGTCTTCGTAACTGATAAAGCTTGGTATGTCACCAGTTGCAAAAATAGAATTTCATAGCAATATGAATTGATTTTATTTTCTCAGCATCATGGGGGGGATTCAGAGAGAGTATAAACTTTCCAATCATTATATTTTGTACATTTGAACTTTTTAACAGAGTTAGGACTAGCTGGGAGAGCTCTCTACTCAGATGTCTCTCCTGATTGTAAAAAATGTCCAATCATATGCTTCTTTAAACAGACCTGCTGCCACCTCTAGCATAAGTGCATTTATTCTATCCTGCAACATAACTGAGACTCTAAGCTGAGAAAACGTTTCAGTCATAATGAAAACATGAACAAAGCTGTGTTTTGGGTACAAGTGAGGAAGATTTCATCTGCTGTTTGTCTAAATCATGTCATAGAGATGCATTACAGACTGAACCTGTTTTTTTAATTAGCACAGTTAATTTTCATTCAACATGGAAGGGAAGTCACTAATTATCAGCACTATTCTCACAATGACATTCCGCTGTGAACGTAAAACTCTTTTTCCCTGTGTAAGCTGGCATTGCTTTAACAATGGCATTTTTGTAGGTCAGTCAGTAGGCTTTGAAATTATTCACCTCTTGTATTCTCTTATGCCAGATAAAAGTAAAAAAGAAATAAACCTCATCTCTTCTTGTAAGCATCTTGTGAGCATGGTGGTCATAGAGGGAATGGGAGGGCTTGCACATAGAGGAGAAGGGGGAGAAGAGTTAATGAGCCAGACTTCATGCTCTCCTAGGTCCAAAAATGCTTGTTAGGTGCTACACAAAGCTACTTAGATAGATATATTTTATATATCAAGCTATAACAGATATTTATGTCAAAGAAATTGATGAACTAAACAATTATCAGGTTTCTCAGCATGATGGTTCTTAGCAGAGTCTTGCCAGTCAGGCAACTGCTGTTCTACAGGAGCAAAAACTGCGGATTTGGTCTTGAGCATACAGGGAGATCTTGCCAGTAACGTTTTTGACTTTAGGGGAATTGCACATGAGAATTGAGATTAGACCTGATCTGTGTCATAACCTTGTTGCCTGCCTGCCTGTTATATATGAAAATCAGTTATCTGGCATTTAAATCTTATCTATGCCATGGAAATCAGTTGCAGTATGTTATTCTATAGCTGTGATTCTGTCCCTTATTAAACACATCTGTGCAGGACTTCTTGACTTGAAGTAAGATTTGTCCTGTGATTATTTTACAGTTGCCTTTCATCAGTTGAAGTTAGATGGCTGCTAAGAGCTCCTTCATAGTCTGTCCTGCTCAGACTGCCATATCAAAGTCCAAATTTTTCTGCCTCTCTGAGTTTTCCCTTCCAAATCCTAGGCTCAGTGTCCTCCAGCCTCATGATCTTCTGTTGGCCTTCAGCCAGTGAAGGAGGTATGTGGACTGTCAAGAGGTTTGTTCCTTGGATCCCCGTCACTGGTCATGTCCTCTTCTCCTCCCTCTCCTACCCCCTTCATTAATGCTGTGCCTCTCCACTGATAATTTGTCCATTGGTGCTTTTGCCCTGAGGAATTTCAAGCGCCACGCCAGCAGTGAGGTACCAGTGAGAAGCTGACAGGCGAGTTGCAGCAGGGCTGCCCTCGGCCGTGCTGGGCTGATAGCTGCAGTGTGAAGGTCTGAGCCTCCACATCTCCCTGCAGCTTTGCTCTCTTCCAAACCTCGCCAGTACTGTCAAGGGCTGGGATGGGAGCTGGAAGCTGAGGAGCTCTTCAAAACTACCAGCCTTGTTTCTCCTGTGGCAGCCAGGACTGGTAGCTAGTGTTTTCCCTGGCAGACCGCTCAGTGGTTTGCCAGGTAAGATGGGGTCAGCCAGCTGGGAACGGTCATGAATGTTGAGGAGAGGAGCAAGTAGAGGCTCAGTTGCAGCTTTCTTCCTGAGGACACTCTGGAGTCTGTTTTGTAGGACAAGCTGCGATTCTCTGCTGAAGGGAAGAGCTGGCTGTAAGCATGGTTAAAGGTGGCAGCTTTGTGGGTTTTTTGGTCTTTTTGTCTGTGATGGTGCTTGTTACTGTGCCTCATTTGCTGTTTACGTTAAATGCTACTGTAGTAACTTGCTAATTGTTGCCACCCGTGCTTGAAGCACATGTATATGGGAACAGGCTGCCCATGTCAGTGGGCAGTGGGAGCTCATGACTGGTTGCTTGGCAGAAGTCAGAGGATGGGCTAGGTCAGGGAATAATGTGGAGGGACTAGTGACAGCCCTTTGTTTGGAAGCATCAGAGAGAAGAAATGTGTGCAGGAGGGCTCTGTCTGAAGTTGGAGAAAGCCTTTTGCATGATTATACAGCACCAAGGAAGGGGAGGCAAAAGATCTTTGTATAATTTGCTTGTTCATAGTGGGTGATTTCATTCTCTAGCTTGATTGTCTTTCTAACTCTTTTTCTGGCTAGCAGCAAACATACATCCTTAGGATCTTTAAAGTCAGCAATATTTTTTGTAATAAAATAAATAAACTAGAGAACTGATTCAATAAAAGCAAAATGACATTTCACTTAAAAAAATAAATGTGCCCTTGAAAGCTATTGAAGGGTGCTTAGAAAAAAGAGAATGAGAGAAGGAAAATCCAGCTCCTAGGAGCAAACAAAAATTAAAAGTAAACACATTTAGAACTGAGAATTGCCATAGAGAAGGAACTGAGGAACACAGTTGAGATTAGGTCAGGGAGAACAAATTAGCCAAATGTATTGAATCATTTAGACTTGAAATCTTTAATTTTTTTATTCCTAAGGAGGCAGTCATGGTATATGACTTTCTGATTTTGATAGGGAAGGCAAGAGATGGTATAAAACTAAAGATAAAGGAAGAATTTCAGAAAATTAAGGCTGCTTTATCACTTCTTGTTGACTGCTGAAGGAGAGCACACAGAGAACTGACTTCGCTCAATGTCAAGGTTTCAATATTAGCAAGATTAATTTCAGAATAACTCTGAACTTCATACAAGTTGGGTTAATGCTGACCTGGAATTGTACCATCAAAAAGCAGAGGTGTTGCAGACAAGTTATCTCCAGGATCTGGAGACCAGATCAAAATAAAGGACTTCAGTACCAAGAGCAGACTGAGAGCAGTCAGGAGTGGCATAGTTTAAAACTGTGATCCACTTCTCTCAGCAGCTGCCTAAACCCCGCTCTGTCACCTGCGAGTTTGCCAGGGCAAACAGTGCCCTTCTTCAGCCAGCCCTGAGCGTCTGCCTGCACTTTCTGGATTGCGCCCAGCACTGCTCAAGTCTCCGCTTGCACGTGGATTTCACTCAAGATCTACGCACTGGAGTCCCTAGTTGGGGGGACTTGGTAGTAGTGTGACAAGCGAAGGATTTTGGCTTCAAATACAGTTCTTACATGGACAAGGTGACATGTTTCCCTGTTTTGTTGTCAGCATCACAGATGTGACAAGCCTTAATCTTTAAAGATTTTTTTTTTTTTAGTTCTATTACCATAAGCTATAGACAAATGTCTTTGGACAAAGTGAATCATCCTGTGGACTCTACAGAAAAGGAAGTAAGATTGCAAGTCACAAAATAAATTGCCACATCAGTGATTTTAACATCACAAGCTGTATTGCATTTGCATACTCTTGTGTTCTCATGCTTTTCTTATGCTTCCTTGCAATCTGCTCTGCTTTCCTAAAGTTTGTAGCACTCCTCGATTTTTGCTCACGTGTATTGATACATGAGCTTGCCAAAGCCTGCTGTGCGTTCTTGATACCAATCACTGTGGTGTGGTTAGACCAAGCCTGTTTCTTTGCTTGATCTCCAGCTTCTGCTCTTCAAACTTTGACTTCAGACTTAAACTCTGCATATCTCATTTCAGAAAATTAAAAAAAAAATAGTTTTAGGTGTATAATATGCATACAAGCTACAATAGGTTTCCTTGCCAAAATCATTCGTAACTAAAAGTAAGTAGGTGGCTTTGGGGGGTGTTCTCCAGTCTACTTGATGCTAGAACAGGTAACCACTTGCCATCCCCTGCTCAGATTACCAACAGCATACCAGTCAAAAACTTGATCTGGTTTTTGTCAACTGTTATTCTAGCAATCCAAGCAATTCACTGTTTCTTTGGAGAAAAAAAAAAAAG